GGGGCCGCAGGGGAAGAGATGTGATTGGGTGAGAGGAGGTGATGGAGGGAGGGGGCGAGACCGCAGGCAGGGAGAAGCTGAATTGATTGGCCTGGGAAGAGGTGGGGGGCGGGGCTAAAGCTGAGAGAAGGGCCCGGACTCCAACTCCGCCTAGCTGGTCGGGGCGGGGCCGCAGATGGAACACACCGATTGGGTCTTTCTGAGATAAGGGGAGGGCCGAGCGAGGTGTTAAGGCGGGATGGGAGGCTAAAGTTGCCTGGTTTGGCAGCACTGGAAGAACAGAGGAGGCGGGGCTAAATATAAGAAAGAGATCTGATAGAACTAAGAAAAGGAGCGGGTCGGGCAGAGGAAGGGGACAGGTCCGAGCTATTTAAAGGGGCCTGACTGTCCGTGACTGGCGGAGTCAGGGGCAGGGCCACAGTCGGGGCGGCCGTCTGGCTTGCATAGAGACGGACCTAAAGAGCCGGCAAGCAATACCCGGTGAAGTGGGGCAGATGGAGACTGCCGGGTTGAGCTCCTAACATTGATTGGACGGGGCAGAGCGGATCTTAAGAAGAGGCAGCGCCACAGAAATTAGAAACAGTCCTAATTGGGCTGGGAGAGTGAGGGGACGGGACTGAATGAGGGGCGGGAACTGAAAATGGAGAGTGGCACTAGACTGGACTGAAAGGGGACACGGCAAGGTGAACAGGAACTGAGACCCAGTGAGAAGGGGCGGAAATGGGCGAGGCCTGGAAACCTGAGAGCTTCTGGCTAGGACTAAGGGAGAAGGCGAGGTAAAGAAGTGGCAGGGTCGGAGCTGCAAACTCGGCACGATTAGCCGGGGCTGGGCCGGGAGAATGTCAGGAAGGATGCGGAGGGACTGCGGGAGGTGGGTGGGATCCACGGCTGGTAAAAACAAGTCTTGAATGGGCTGTGGAAAGGCAAGACTAAGGGAGGAGGGGGGCTTTAAGGGATTTGAAAGCAACCAGGCTAGGTGGGGGCGGGGCAGGGCTAAGAGTGTAGAGAATGGCTAAGGAAAAGGTGAGACCTGCAGAGTACAAAGCTACCGGGATGGACGGAGCGGTGGGACCTAGAACGGGAAGTCTTGGGGGCCAGAGAACCTGGGAGATAGTTCTAAGGGTCAGCAGGGCCTTAGAAGGGGGAACGAGGTGAGGGAAAGTGGGCGAGGTCTAGATAACGGCGGACTGCAGGCAGCAGAACCAAGGGATGGATGAGAACTGGTAAGGAGAGTCCTAAGAGAGGCGGAGGGGAAAAACCAAAAGGCCGGGAAACAGTCTAGGCTGAGGCAATAGGCGGGGCCAATAGGAAATTGGGCGGGATTAGGTTTCAGAGAGTCCTGGTGGGAGGGCAGAAAGTTGGGGCGGGGCCAATGGTGGGCGGGGCCAGAACTAGGCGGACGGCCCCGGAGCCGGTCGGGCCCCGCCCCCTGGGCTGGACTGGACCCCCGGTGGTAGAGCGCAGGCGCGGGGGCTGGGGCGGGGCCAGCGGCTGCGGCTGGGGCTGCGGCGGCAGGAAGCTGTGCCTGTGGGAGGGAAGTGGGTGGGTCAGGGGCTGCGGGCGTCCCAGGTCTGCACTGTTCCCAGCCCGCCTCCTCCCTCTGCAGGTACGGCGGCTGGTTGGTATCGCCTCCCTCTCCACCCCCCACTCCCGCTTCTGTGTCTCTTAGTGTCTCTTTTTCTCCTCTTTTCTGAATATTTGTCCCCCCGTCTCTGCCCTTACTCCTCTGAGGCTCTGGCCCCTCCTTACTCTCTGCGCTCCCTCTGGTTCTCTGTCCCATTGTTCTCTGTATCTGTCCCCCTCCTTCTGAGTCTTGACCCTCTTCTCTCTAAGCCTCAGTCTCCTCTCCCCTGTGTCTCGATCTCCCCACCCCCAGTCTCATCTTGACCTCTGGACCTTTTTCTCGGATTTGCCTCTCTCTGGGTCTCTGTTCCCTCCAGTCTCTGTCCCTCCTCTTTGTGTCTCTGTCCTCCACTCCCCCCTCCCGCCATCCCAGGGTCGGCTCCCTCCTCTCTCTGGTCTCTGCCCATCCATCTGGGTCTCTGTCCCCCTAGCTCTTGTTCTTTCACTACCTCCTTCCCCGTGTCTTTTTCCCCTCCTCCGTCTCTTTTCCCCCTCTGTCACTGCCTTTTCTCTTTCTGTCCTTTTTCTTCCTTTCCCTTCCCTGGGCCTCTATCCCCCACCCCCACCCCGTGCCTCTTTCACCCCTTTCAGAATCCCTGTCCCCCTTTTCCTGGGTCTCTGTCCCCACTTCTTTGGGGCTCTGTCCTGCTGTCCTTCAGTCTCTGTCCTTCCCTCTGGATTTCTGTCCCTTTCTCTCAGGCTCCCACCGCATCACCGTCTCTAATCCTCAACCTGGCCAGGACTCGAGGCTGCGTCACTGCAGAGAGTTGCAGAAGTGGGGCCCGTCCTGCGGACCAGGGAGGTAGTTTACCTCAACTCCCCCCACCCCTAGACCTGGGTTCCCCCACTGCTCTCAGGCAGTCCTCAAGCCCCCGTGGGACCCAGGAGGGTAGAGAAGACATGGGGGCTTCCTACTCTTCTCTGCCCCGGATTCTGGTGTATCCCCAGGCAGAAGCAGTGAATACTGAGGTGAGGGAATGGTCTTGGGTTGAGTGAGGCTTTCTAGGCAGGTGGGGCGTGGGGGTGGATGCTGGGGCCGGGGTTGGGTAGGCACTAGGAGCTGGGAGTAAGGACCTAAGCTAGGGTAAGGACCTAAGTCAGCCATCCTCCCTTATACCCTCCCCCCACCCCATCCAACTCTACTTTTCTCTTCTGCCTTTGATAGCAGCCAGGCAGGGGATCAAGTTACCAAACCAGCGTTTTTGCAGAGGTCAGAAGACGTGGGAGAAGGTGCGGGCTGGGGCAGAGGGAAGTGGGGAAGGCAGGGATGGTGGGGGGGGGAGGAGCGAGGAGGCTGGAATAGGGGAGAATAGGGAATGAGACTCGGGATGAAAGACCGTGGGATTGGGGGAAGAGGCTCGGTCAAGGATGATCCAGACTCCATCAGGCCCTGGGAAATTTGGGTGCCGTCACTCCCACATGGCCCTCTCCAGGCCCCACCAGGGTATGCGGGGATTTGTGAGCCTGAATTCTCCACCCATAGGGGAGGCTTCTGGAGGCATAATGAGGGCTTGGGTTATGGGACACCCAGCTCGGCAAACAGGCCAGAGGGACGTGGACTCGATTTTTGGCGACGCACACCAGGGGAGGGGAGGCCAATGTCTGTTCGCGTCTTCAGACCCTTTTCCCATCCCTCCTCCTCCCCAGTCTATCCCTTCTCAGGCCTTCAAGGCACAAAATTCCTGAAAGCCCCAGACTCTCACCTCAGTCATCCTTGGCGTCCCCTCCTAACTCTCCCTCCCCCATTCCCCAAAGCCCTGGAATTGGGGAAGGGTCTTCCCCTTCCTGACTTCCAAGACCCCTTCCTTGTTCCTCCGCCCCCATTCCTATCAGTTCTAAATCCAGGAAAGACGATCTTCCAGGCTCTAAAGCTGAAAATGTGGGGACTCCCTGCCTACGATCCTTGGTCCCCCGAGACCCTCCAATTACCTCTCCGCTGTAACCTTTGAGTCCTCCTCTCCCGAGTCCCCCGCCTCCAAAACTGGGATTTGGGCTGTCTTACCGCCCCCGGACCCTGTGCCTTCTCCCCCTCCCCCGTACTCACCCCACGTCGAGGCGGGGCGGGGATGGGGGAATCCGGGATTGGTGATGGGGGGAGGGGTGACCCAGCCCCGCAGCTCTGGGCAGCGAGAGGCTGCGGAGGGGGGTAGTGACATCATCGCCGGAGGAGGGGCAGCTCAGCTCCCCCCAACCCGGGGAATCCCAAGGGTAGAGAAGAACGGGAGATTAAGTGTGCGGGAATAGTACCTCCTCCCCTTAGAACAAAGGTTGGAAAACCCTTTACGATTTCAGCCACCCCCCACTGCCACCTGTCGCTGCCGTCGCGACCTGTCGCCTCCCACGCGTGTTGTGGCTGCGCCCGCCCCCGTTAGGACGTGAACACCGCGTAGACTACAACGTCCGTGATACTCCGCGGCGTCGAGTCCATTTGAGGAGAGGCAGTGTAGGCGAGAGGCTTCATGGGCTTCGTAGTATAGGAGCCTCGCACCAGTGTGCGCCTTGGAGAGGAGTGATACCTTTCTCCTTCCTTTCTTTCTCAACTCCAGAGAGCCGGACACTTTTTTCTGAAAAAAATCACGCGCTTAAAAAAAAAAGGGGGGGGGCTTCCCTGGTGGCGCAGTGGTTGAGAGTCCGCCTGCCGATGCAGGGGACACGGGTTCGTGCCCCGGTCCGGGAAGATCCCACATGCCGCGGAGCGGCTGGGCCCGTGAGCCATGGCCGCTGAGCCTGCGCGTCCGGAGCCTGTGCTCCGCAACGGGAGAGGCCACAACAGTGAGAGGCCAGCGTACCGCAAAAAAAAAAAAAAAAAAAGGAAGAGACCCAGGTAAGTTTAATAGAAAATAGTAGATTTTTACTGAGTATCGGGGGATGCGCATGCGCATAACCAGGGCCTCAACCGGAGAACTGCGCCTGCGCAAGCCCACCCCTTCACTGTCCTGCTCCACGAGCTCGAGCGCGCCCAAGCCCCACTCGCGCCCCGCTTTTCCTGTCGCCACGGTCGAAGACGGCCACGTAGCTGCCCAAGAAGACATCGCCGAGGATCCAGAGAGGCCCTGCGGGCGGAGGCATGTCCAGAGCCTGGAAGCCAGACAAGCAGAGACGGACGCCACCCCGAGATATCTACAAGGCGACAAGACGGATCACAGGTGTCGTGTCACGCCCACCGGTGTTCCTTCTTCCTACGAGCCAGAGCTTCGCCCCGCCCACTACCGTGGGCACTAGAAATGTTTATGTGGTCCCTGCTTGGCCCTAGTGATGTCTCACTCCCAGCCCCACCCTCTCAACGCGTCACTCTGACGTCATTGTGACTGCCACCTACCTGGATGACGTAGTCCTGGGCCGTGAGGTTAAACCAGACCCCTCCAAGGAGGAAGGAGACTGGAGGGAGCGTTGGGATTTTCGAGCATTGGATGAGGTACTGAGGGAAAAGAGGAGCAAGTAGAGACGAGGGATTCCTTCTCTGCTCAAATTCTTTCCGTGACTCCCCAATGCAACAGGGAAATGTCCATTTTGGACAGCTAGGTATTCAGGACCTTGTGTAGTCAGGCTCTGCTGTCTTCTGTAGCCTTATTGGCTTTTCCCTCACTCCTATATAGTTGTTGCCACTTCCCCTAGGCTCCCATTTGATCAAAACCTCTTTTCATCTAATTAAAAATCAAAAACTGGTGGCCCACGGGCCATACTGGGCCTATAGGTGTATGTAATTAGTCTTATACTAATTATAAGTTTACTCACTCTCATCCGGTCCTGTCCCCGGAGTCACTTAGAGTAGACACTTGGGAGGTGTCCTTGCTTCCCTTCACTAACCCCTGGCCTGTCACTCACAAGGTCCAGTGTTTTCAGCCCGTGCATACCTCTTAGCCATGCGATTCCCACCCGCAGGCCAGAGCATCCTGCCCAATGTCCACCATTAAATCCCTATTAGCCTCCGCAGCCCACACCCACCAGACACCAGGTCCTCACCTCCCCCATTAGCAGGGGGACTCCCCCAGTGGCTGCCTGCAGGGCCCGGATCTCCTCAGTGGGTCCCGTGATGAGAGACGTGCCTGTGTCCAGAATGGCAGCACAGCCCCGGGCACAAAGAGTCAGCCCTGTGCCAACCTCCACACTGTGAGGCAGAAGGAGGCAGTCATTAGAGCCAGCATCCTAGGAGGCCAGACCCCCAGCCCCCTCCTCCTGCAGAGCCAGGAGTCCCGGCCCACAATCCCTCCTCCATCAGACCTAGGAGTCTGGATCCTCGGCTCCCTTCACCCCAGGACACTGGATTTTAGGCTCTAGCCCACTCCTCCCAGACCTAGGAGGCCAGGTTCCTCACCGCTCCATGTGAATCTGCCAGTAGGCAGGGATCGTGACTGACACAAAGGTGAGGGGTGGGATGTAGTGTGCTGGGTCCGAGCCACCCAGGACGAGCTCTCCGCCATCAGCTGCCTCAGGGTCCCTGCAGAGGCAGACAGCTGTAGGTGTTATGGGCATTTCTCCTGCCAGCCCCAGGAGTGGCCAAGGGAGGGACTTCTGCCAATGGGGTGGTGTCTGGGTTCTAGGTGGGATAGTGGGATGCAGGCAGGGCCATGATGTTGGGACTGGAAGCAAGGCAAGAAGTGAAGAGAAATGGGGCTTTTCTTGGTGGAGGTTAGGATTTTAGGGTCTTGGGAGCTTCCTGAAGTGGGCATAGGACTTCTTGATTTGACCATAGAAGGTAGAACTTTTGTGGGGAGTGGAGCACTGAGGTTTCTGAATTGGCCTTGGTAGGTGTGATTGTGAGGAATCAGTCTCCCCGAGTGGACGATGAGACTTTCTGAACTGCATGTCTAGAACTTCCGGGGAATTAGACTTCCTCAGTTGGCTGAAAGTGATAGGAAGGCGGGGGTGGGGGCGGGCACTTCCTGGAAGTGTGGAAGGTCAGGATCTACTAAGAGGTGGGTGGGGGGATTCCCTGGCTGTTCAGTGGTTAGGACTCCGCCCTTCCACTGCAGGGGGCACAAGCTGCAGACAAAAAAAAAAGAGGTGGGTGGGACTTCCTGGGTTGGACGTCCGGATAACTGAAGGGACATAGAATTTCCTGCCCGGAGACTACCTGGATAACAGCTTGGGCTTTCTGAGCATAAGTTTTAAGCTTCCTAAAAGGTAGATGTAACTTCTTAGATTAAAATGGGCAATTCCTGACTTCTGACATGTGTTCTCAAATGGAATTGGGATTTCTTTATGGTGAAGATGGGGTTCTTAAATTCAGTATTTGATGGGGTAGGGCATGGAATTTCCTGGTTTGAGTTTGAAACAATGAACGTTTTAAATGATGGTGAGTTTCTTTAAGGTGTTGCTTAGTGAGTGGAACTTATGAACTTATGAATAGGGTTCGTGTGTTTCTTATATTGGGGCGGTGACTTCCTGAATGGAGAGTGGGACTTCCTTTATTGGGCAAGGGACTTCCTGAAGGAGGGCAGAACTTCCTTCTTGGGGCTAGGACTCAGAGGAAGGTAGACCCTCCGCCATTACCTGTTGAGGTAGAAGGAGAAGACAGGCTTATCCAGAAGCCCCTGGTCCACCAGTTTATCCAGCGGGGGCAGAACTCCTCCCACAGCCAGAGCGGGAAAACCGAGGCCCAATATCCCATCGAAGTGGGCAAATGTGAAGACCAGGCTGGGCTCCCACAGAGCCTCCCCAAAAATCACCGATGCACCTGTGATTCCCCCAATCTGGGGTAGATTCAAATGGAGTAAGTTACTTCCGGGAGGACATTACCTACATGTCTCTGAAGTCTCCCAAACCAAGGTATGAATCCCAGGTCTGGGGACATCTGTAAACGACTCCAACTTCCTAGGAAGCTTTGCCCTGTAACTTGAGAAGGCCCACTCCTGCCTGGGAAGCCACGCCCTCTTCCCCAGGAGGCCCTGCCTCGCAACTCAAAAGCCCCATCCGTTTACTTTGGAGGCCCCGCCTCTTCAAGCCCCTCCCTAAACCAGATCCTAGAGGTGGGCTTCTCCCAGGCTCAAGCCTTCCCGGGGCCAAGGTCACGCACAGTCAGCTTGTCCTCACTCAGGATGCCTTCTAGGCGGCCAGTTCCGTATTGAATGGCAAACTTGGTCCCATTGGGCCGGAAGGAGCTGGAGGCTTTGGGGTTGAAGCGGTGATGGAGCCCTAGGTCAGAAGGTGAGGGAGCTGTCACTGGGGGCAAGAGGTCTCCCCAGTGCCTCCTGCCTTTCCGGCCAACTCACCTGTGAGGGTGCGTTGGAAGAGAACAGGTCCTCAAAAACCCTTGGGAAGACCGGGCCCAGCCCCCCTTCTCCCTTTACCCCCACTCAGCCTTATTCTCCCCCATGACAGCTCACAGCAGGGCAGACTGGAGAAGTGGCATCTCACGGAGGGGACCCAGAGATTGGAGGAACCAGTGTCGAAGACGACAGAGAAATTTTTGGGGGGCGTTCCCAGCCCAATTTCCCCGTAATACTGGACCTGATGGCAAAATAGGAGAGGTCCTGGATGAAGAGCTTGACTTCAAGGGCAGGAAGGTTGGGGACGGCGACGGGGGGCTGTGTGGGGCTGTGACTCACGTTCATGTAGTTGGAGAGAGGCACAAAGAAGTCCTTGTCCCCAGGGGATGGAGCCCCCAACCTGGGGGGCTCTGCTGGCTTATCCCATCCCCTCAGTGGGTTCAGGGCCCTGAGTCCAGTGTAGACTTTACGAAGTGGGATCCTGTGGGGGAAGGAGATACCAACAGCTAAGGAGCTACCCTTTCTGGAGATCCTCTGTAACAGACTTCCCCAAATAGGATATAATGACAATGTAAGCATCTCCATGACCCTGTAGTAATAGTCATTACCAGAAACCCTACCAAACACCTACCAAACCACGATGACAGATTTCCCCAAAGATTCTACAAGAGTGCGCCATTCCAAACAGACTTTCCCCAAAACGTTTCAATAAAAGACCTTCCAAATTATGTAAAGTAAGCCATTCCGGAATGGACGTACACAAAGTTTTCCAAAGACCCTAACATATGCCGGGGTGGGGGGCCGTGGTGGCAGAGGGATGGATGGGGAGTTTGGGATTTAGCAGATGCAGACTATTATGTATATATAAATAGAATGGATAAACAACAAGGCCCTACTGCATAGCACAGGAAACTGTATTCAATATCCTGTGATAAACCATAATGGAAACGAATATATATATATAGCATATATCTCTGAATCACTTTGCTGTACAGCGGAAATTAACACATTGTAAATCAGCTATACTGCAATAAAATAAACTTTTAAAAATGCCCAAAACCCCAACATAAAACTAGCCTTTGCAAAAGCCCTTACATACTTTCAGCACTGGGGCAAAAATGTAAGCACCAAATCCCAATTTTACTTTTTACAGTAAAATATATTCCAGATATATCAAATGTACATCACACTTAATGTGCAGTGTAAAATTATAAGAGCACTGGAAGTAAAGTGTTTAATAATTCTAGAAAAAGGAGGGCTTTTCTCAGAAAAGATGGGAAGATCAGAAATCATGGGAGAAATATTGACAAGGCTGTCTCTAAAATTTTAAACTTCTGTACACCCCCCAACATACAAAGTTAAAAGAGAAAAATATCTAGTGGAAATAATTACAAGTTGTATGTCAAAGAGTTAGTATCTCTAAAATGCAAAGAGCTTCTACAAATAAATAAGAATAAGATAAGCAACCCTGTGCGGGGAGGCACTTATTCATGAGTCTTATATTTCTGCAGAGGCACAGACTGCCTATGTCCTGAGTGTCTTTTCAAGGATTTTGTTTAGTGAACAGCCTTGGAAGAGAGAGAGTGTCTCTCTCTCTGGAGCAAAGGGCAGGCAGGCATATGATCCATTATAAAAGATTCAAGCCTAGGGTTTCCCCTGCTGTAATGCACCTCACTGCTTGTGCACATATCACCTGAGTCCGTTCCTTTCACCCTGTGGGAACCGAGGCTCCCAAAAAGGCTTCCAGAAATCTGGCACAAAACTGGCTACTACTATTGCTGGGAGTACTAAAATGTCCTTTGCTTCACACCTGGGAACCTTGTGCCTTCCACCAGCAGCCATGAAACTGTGGCAAACTAACTTTACAGTTCTTGACATTAAGTAGGAAAATGGTCAAAAGAAATAAGCAGGTAATTTTCAAAAGAAATACAACTTCTAAACACATGAAAATATGTTCAGCCCCAATAGTTATCAAAGAAAGGGGAATAACAAGAGTGAGAGACCTTTTCTTTTTCTTTTTTTTTTTCCCCCCTGCAGATTGGCACAGAATTACCAATACTCACTGTTGGCTAGGAGGTTAGGAGGTGTAGATTGATACAAACTTTCTGGAGGATAGTTTGGTAACTTCATGAGTCAAAATTGGGAGTGCAGCTTTTAAGCCAATTAGTTTTAATTCTAGGAATTTCATCTATAGGAGATCATTAGAAAAGTGCACAAAGATGTGCCTGATTTTGAAAACTGTTATCCACACAATGGCCAACGCTGGGTACATCTCAGCTCTGCTATAAAACATGCCTAGGGCTTCCCTGGTGGTGCAGTGGTTGAGAGTCCGCCTGCCGATGCAGGGGACACGGGTTCGTGCCCCGGTCCGGGAAGATCCCACATCCCACATGCCGCGGAGCGGCTGGGCCCGTGAGCCATGGCCTCTGAGCCTGCGCGTCCGGAACCTGTGCTCCGCAACGGGAGAGGCCACAACAGTGAGAGGAGGCCAGCGTACCGCAAAAAAAAAAAAAAAAAAAAAGTCTAGAATGGAATCCATTCAGCCACTACAAAGGGGAAAGTAGCTCTCTATGCCAGTGTTTTTGCAAAGTTGTTTTGAAGCAGAATCACCTAGAGCAGGGGTGATAGGAAAGGTTTTTTTGTAAAGGTTTTGCAGGCCATCCATCTCTGTTGCAACTACTCATTCTGTCAATATAGCACAAAAGCAGCCATAGGCAACATGTAAACAAATGAACATGGCTGAATTCCATTAAACTTTATTTGCAAAAACAGGTGGTAGGCTGGATTTAGCTCCTGAGCTGAGTGTTTTGCCAATCCCTGACCTTGAGGGCTAGTTAAAATTTAGAACTGCTAAATTTCATTTTTTTCTTTTTCTTTTCTTTTCTTTTTTGGCCACACCATGCATCATGCGGGATCTCAGTTATCCAACCAGGGATCAAACCCATGCCCCCTGCATTGGGAGTACAGAGTCTTATTCACTGGACCACCTGGGAAGTCCCTAGAACTGCTGGTTTCTGATTGAGTAGGTCTAGGATGGAGCCTGAGGATCTGCATTTCTAACAAGTTCCTGGGGCCTGCTCAAGCCGATGTTGGTGGTCCTGAGTCAACTCAGAGAATCATAGCTTTTTGCGTTGATTTGGGAAGTGGCTATGACCTCTTAAGTTCAAAAAGTAGGTTAGCAAACATCACATGCAGTAATCTGTTTGTACCTGCCTGTAGTTTCTCCTTGGGGCCCTGCCCCCCGGATGTTTGTGGCCACCACCCATGACTTAGTCTTTGAGAAGCTTAAGAATGTGAAGTGGGGAAAAAGTGTTTCCTGGAAAAGTAGACCCCCCCTCCCCCCATCAAGAGTTCCAGGGAGTGGAGAGAAGAGAGGAAGGGAGAGATTGGGGGAGGCACCAGAGGTGGGGGGGAGGTCATAGGAGTCCCCAAAACTGGACTTCTTGAGCCCTCAACAATTTGGAAGATGCGAATCTGGGGGAGTCTCACTTTAAATGTCACAGACCAGGGTCTCCAAGATCTGTTGGAAGACGGGTGTCACAGGTCTGGAGATCTCAGTATCAGATCATCAAAGCTCAGGGTGGGATCAGCAGAGTTCTCCCAAAAATGTGTACTAAGAAGATTGGGATGGTCCCCAACCAAGGGTCTCAGGGTGCAGGACCTTAGACTCAAAGGGCTTGGGTCTTACGAGATATCAGGGTGGACCCCTCAGGGGTGAGAGCCCAATTTGGAGATCTGGGAACCCAAAAGATAGGAATCATGGATTCTGGGGTGTCAGGTTTGGGGGTCGCTGAACTGGGGAGCCCCAGACTTGAAGGGTAAGAGGGAGGAAGTCCGTCCCAGGTTTTGGGGTTGTGGGGGTCCCCATTACCGGATCAACGTGGCCCCAGCGGGCTCCATGGTCAGCAACGGTAGCAGCAGCAGCAGCGGTGGCGGAGACATCTCTGGGGACCCGTGTGGACCCAGGCGTCCTGCGGTTCCGTTTTCTTTCCCCGGAGACTGCGCCCTGTTCACTGCCCACTTCCAGGTTTGAGAGGTGACTAAGACACGGAGTTTCTTCGTGGGTGATGTGGGAGTGATGGGTGGTATTTTGGGAGGAATGTGCCAAATATTTTGGTAGGGTCGCCGGAAGAATTGGCCTGCCTCACTCCCGACTTCGCTGGTGGTGGAGAGTCTCCTGCGCCCCCCCCTTACCCATTCTTTACTTATAACTTTCACTTCATATTTTCTCATTAACCACAAGAGTTTTCTAGGGCAAACAAATGTATGGGCGGGGCGTTTGTGAAAGGTTTGGGGGAAGGAAGAGAGGGTCAGACTAGACGTCTTCTGCCCCATATTAAGTGGGACTGCCAAAGTGTCAGGACCCCTGATTCCTATTGTTTTATTTGGAAAATACTGAAACACACAAAAAGTCCATAGCCCTACCACCATTGAAAAAGCATAAAAATAATTTGCAGTGTCTCTGTCTGCCCCGTTTTCCATAATTAAGTTTCTTAAATATTTAGGAGCACCCAAAAACCCAGTTTAAAAGTGCCCTAGATTTCTGGGTACCACCCTCAGAGATTCTGATTCCAGAGGCCTGAGACAGAGCCAAGAATCTGCCAGAAAAACAATTCATTTACATTATTACAACTGTGCTAATGTTATTTCCATTTACAAGGACTGGGTAGACCTAGAGAAAAGCAAACTTGGGAGAGTGTACTAGTTAGTTAATGCTGTGTAAAAGTCACCCCCAAACTGAGTGATTTAAGGCAGAAATAATCATTTATTATTATTATTGGGGGGCTTTCTGCGTTAAAAATTTGAAAGTAGCTTGACCATGCAGTTCTGGCTCATAGGGTTGCAGACAGATGTCAGCTGAGGCTGCCATCATCTGAAGGCTTCAGTAAGGCCAGAAGATCCGCTTTCAAAATGGTTGGGGCCCCACCTCTTGAACTTGGGTTTCCTTCAGGATGTTGTAGCAGGAATGTCCCTTAGGGAGAGGCTGGAGGGAATT